CCCCTCCCCATTACTTGCCCCACACAGTCTGCCCCACCTCTCCACTGCTGGCCTCAGTGCTTTCTCCCTCTCCAGCATCTCCAGGATCAGTTTGCCCCACTGCTCCTCCAGCTCGTTGGGGTGCAGCCCCTGGGGCAGCTTTATCCGCCCAAACTCCATCCATACCTGGGGCAACAACACAGACAGGGGGTGTGACTCCCAGGGCAGAGGGGTGAGCCACAGCTCCGAGCGGCCCCTGCGGAGAGCTGCCCGGAGGACAGGCCGGCCCAGGCACGCGTACCAGTGAGGCCTCTTCACTGCACCAGGCTCTGAGCACGAGCAGGTCACCGACACGCGGCTCTCACCTCCAGCATCTTGTATAAGTGCTCTACTTTGCCCTTTTCAATCTCTCTCACTGGGATCTCCGTCTCTTTGAAGTGAACGTACTCGTTGTACAGTGCCTGGGGGCGAGAGAGAGACGGTAACAGAGCAGCGCACGCAATCGCACACGCAGCTCTGCCTCCTTCCTCCTCCCCAGGCCTCCCTCTCTCACCTTGAGCTCCACAGGGTTCTGCGGGAAGCTCTTGTCGGCCATGCGGGCCGTGTGCTGCCGGGCCCACTGCAGCAGGCCGGAGAATCGGGTCTGGTACTCCGACCAGCGCTGGTCCACCTCCTGCAGATGCAGAGGGAGACAGAACCCTTTTAGCAGTCTGTGTAACACTGCCAGCTTCGGCTCTACTAACACAGGGAGGCAGCAGGGGAGAAACTTACTGACACAAACAAGACATCCTAGGACTTAAAGCTCAATGAACCAATTTTCCAGCGCGCCAGTTAATTGGTTAATGAGGTTCCCGGCGGCGTATGGACTCACATGTGCGCCAATGCCCTCTCCACTCTCGGGAACCTTCGGGAAGGCATCGTAGATAGAGGACACGTAGGTGATGACGGACTTCTCATCAGGAGAAGGAACATCCACGTCTGGAGCAGAAAGGGAGGGGGGTTACCGCAGGCTGGAACTGCCCCGCGGGGTAGACCGAGATCAAGAGAGGGGGAGAGACAGGAGGGGAGGAAAGGAGAGGTGGAGCTTGGGAAGAGCGAGAGAGTAAGAGAAAGAGCGATGGCAGAGAGAGACGACAGAGGCAGACAGAAGCCATCCTCACCTTCGGAGTCCAGGAGGCGCGTGACGCCCAGCGACTCGGCGATCTCGAAGGCCTGCTCCAGGTTCTCTCGGTTACTCTGCCTTGCCACCGCATCCATGTCGATCAGATCTGGCCTGGAACCCAGAGGACACACAGTGTTAGGGTTCAGGGGTCTGGGGGGTCAGAAGTGAGCTGGAGAGTCATAGCGCAGGAGGTCAGAGGTCAAGGGTCAGGAGTCAGACCTGTATCGGTGCAAAATGGCGTTGAACATGCGGCCATCGCTCCAGCTGGAGGTGAAGTTGGTACATCGCAGGCCAGGATAGCCCTCCGTCACTTTCTGTGTCCATAGCAACAGCCGCTCCTTCGCCGTGAGGTCGCTTGACTCCCCACTCACGTACACCTCCGAGATCTGAGCCAGGGAGGGGAAGGGGGCGGTTAGCCAGAAGGCTCAGAGAGTGGACACGCCTGCCAGGTGACCATCGGCAGAGCTTGTGGTCAACCAAGCCATCCGTCAACCAATCGATCAATCAATCACTAATCTGTGTAGAGGTCCTGCTGGGAGACCGCAGGTCCAACACGGCCATGTCTGTGAGCAGCCAGAGGAGCCCCAGCGTGAGGGGTACCCCTCGGAGTCTGGGTACCCCACGACTGCGACCGACATGTTCACAAGCCTTTCAACCCCCCAGGACAGGGCACCCCGCCCCAGAGTCTCACGCGAGGAACGGGCTGGGACTTTCCAGGGGAATGGGGGGGGTTTTCCCACCTGCCCTTTAGTGTCCGTCTGAAGCCGTTCCACTTTCATTCCCCGAGTTTCCCTGGGTGATCTAATTAGTGACCTCGTCAGGCAGTTTCAGTGCCAGTCTCTCCCGGTTACCGGAGCTGCCTCACCACTGCCTCTCCGGCCCTGCCTCCCTCCTCCCCTCAGTCTGGCTCTGCCCCCACCCCTCTCTGCGGCGAGCAGCGCCGGCAGAGCTGGGCTCCCGTCATCAGTATTCCTCTGCCGTGCCTCCCGTCTCCCTCACGCTGCCCCTCCCCCCGTCTGCACTTCTCGGCTGTGGGAAGGAACGGGGACTGGAGAGGAGAGGAGAGCACTGGGAGCTCCAGGCCTGCCTGCAGACACAGCCCCGAGGAGCACATGCCTGTCCCCACTGCCAAACACTGGTACACAGAACCGCACACACGCGACAGCACACACACACACTGATACACAGTACCGCACACACGCCACAGCACACACACACTGATACACAGTACCGCACACACGCCACAGCACACACACACTGATACACACCACAGCACACACACACTGATACACAGTACCGCACACACACTGATACACAGTACCGCACACACACCACAGCACACACACACTGATACACAGTACCGCACACACACCACAGCACACACACACTGATACACAGTACCGCACACACACACTCAGATAACACACTGATACACAGTACCTCACACACACACTCAGATACACACTGATACACAGTAC